TTTAATGTTCCTGCTGATCCCATTAAGAACCAGCAGAACCTCTGATGGTCCACATCAGCTCAGTTTGGTTGAGTTCCAGCAGATCTCACCAACCACATCATGAAGCTTTCCTTCCCTGCTGAACTGCTCTCACAATGCACACAGGAACCAAGTCCTGATGGACCAGAATGGCTTTACCAGGTATTTCCCAGTGGAAATGTGATCCACTGTTAGTCTGACATGGAGCCAGGAAGCAACAGAACATCATCATCAACATCCAGAGATAAAGATATGAAGGTGTTTTCATGAGAACAGAGCAGCTGATTTCTGTAGATAATGGATCAAACCTCTGGAAATATAACTGGAAACATCTGAGTTCTTACTGGTTCAATTTCCAGAGTTACAGCAGTTAGATACATCTCACCTCTCTGATGGTGGAGATCCAGGAGATTTAAAGTCAATGGGAACATCCTTTGACCTGTTGCTCTTAAAGGACACACAGCTGGGTTCTGGTTCTGGTTCTGGTTTGAGTCTCTGATGGATCCTGACAGAAACATGATGATTAAAACTGAATCAGCAAAGAGGAGCAGCAGCAGCTTCATCACCACGTCTGTTCTGGCCTGATATAGTGAACGCTGTGTGAAAAGGGCTGTGGACAGTTAGAGATGGTGACCTCACCTCTGACCTTTGCTCTGGCTCTCATCTTCCCACACAGAGTGGTTTTAGAGGGAGGGACTCCCTCCTCTCTGTCCTCACACTGATCCATGCTGCTGAATCCACATCAGCTCACACACACTTTCTAGCTTCACCTGCAGAGGAACACACATCATTCATCTGCACATCAACTCTGATCATCCTTTACATCATTAGTGCTGGAAAAAGATCAGCTGCTCCTCCTCTGATTGGCTCTTCTTCTCTGCTTCATATCAGTGTCAGGTGAATGCAGTCAGACATCAGAGAGGCAGAGGAAGCTGCCATCAGCTGCTGCACTTCTACTATCAGTCCACTAGATGGAGACATGGAGCAACATTTACATTCACTGATTCAACCTGAACAACAGGAAGGATTTTCTGCTCCTTCAAAGATTAACTATTTCATAATCTGACTGATAAATTGTTTTTTCTGACTTTAATGCTGGATTCCAGAGTTTGATTCCAGGAAATAAGACCAAGAATCAGTTTGTTCAGAGAAGAAAATAAAGAAAATCAGATGTTCAGCAGAGAACTTCAAACAGCAGAGATTTTAGTTTTTCAGCTGAAATCAGAAGTGAACATTTTCTCCAAAAATCAAAGTTCAAGTAGGAAACAAAGCAAACTTACAGTTTGTTCAAATGTTCCAAAGAGTTGATGAAGAAAATCTGAACAACAAGCTGAGACCCAACAGAATCACAGTAGATCCAGACTGGTGCCACAAATAAACAGGTTAGTTTAAACTGAAAGTGTTGTGAGGAGAAATGAGCGTAGACTGGTCTGACTGGTCTGACTGACTGGGAGTCAGAGGAAAGTTATTCTGTTGACGATTTAAGACAGGATCACTTTCCATAAAACTGGATCTGCTGTTATTCTGCTGATCCAGGTTCTGTTCAACACCAATTGAACCAGAACCTTTTTTAAACTTGGAACCAACTGATCTCTTCATTAATGGGGATTTGTCTCCCCCTGGTGGTGAAACTCTTACCTGCGTATTGTTTGGTTATTAATATCATGACGTGTTTTTACACGTTATGATATTAATGTCATAATGTTAATATCCAAAAGCTCTGTTTTGGATTACAGAGCTGTAATCTAGCTCTGTAATCCAAAAATTAAGAGACCACTTAAAATGATCAGTTTCTGTGATCTTATTTTTTTATAGGCTTATATTTGAGTAAAATGAACAATGTTCTCTTTTTCTATGAAGTATTGACAACATGTCTGACATTCCAAGCAAAAATGTGTTTGCAGAAAATGAGAAATGGTGAAAATAATAAAAAAGTTGAAGCGCTTTTAAACCACAAATAATCTAAAGAAAACAAGTTCATTTAAAATACTGATTTTACTCAGAAGTTCATAAATCATTTGGTGAATAACCAGGTTGTCAATGAGGTTCTCAGTGGTCTCCATGTTTTTTTTTTCATTGCTGGATGACCGCAACTGTAAAAAGTGATCAGAACCAGAACCAGTTCTAAGGTTTCATTTATCAGGACATGAATGACTTTAGGGTTTGTTTGTTTCTGCTCACCTGGAGCTCCAGCCGGGTGGAGTCAGTCTGAGTTCTTTCATCTAAAGAGAACATTGAAGATCCTCCTGGAACAAATGGAGCTTTGGAAAGAAATCAGCAGGAAGTGAAAGAAAAATGATCTTCATCACTTGTGAAGTGAACGACATCAGAGTTGGATTCATTGGAGTCACATGAAGATCAGAAAACTGAGGCTAGAATAATAAACATCATGTTAAATATTAGCTGCTTATATTGCTCTCAGTGAACTTTATTTGCTGGACTTTGATGAGAAAAAAAAATCTATGATAATCCTGATGTTACTATGAAGGAGTGTTTCTTCATCCAGTCATTTATTAAACTTGCCTGATTCTGTCTCACATTAAGCTCCACTGGGTCATCAATATGTGACTGAACAGTTCAGTCAGTTTAGCTCATTTTAGCAGAAACTGAAGGTAACAGACTGTGGGATAAATTGAATTGGACTCATATGAACATTCATGGTTTATCTGCACCAAAGCAATGTTAGAGTGGGAGATCCTGGATGTGGGGTGAGGGAGGTAAACTGGGTTACTGCTGACCAGCAACTCCTTCCCATTTCCTTAAACTACATCCACCTGCAGGAACAAGGAATGTGGCTTTTTGTCCACATGTGAAGCAGTGCTGACAGATATCACCCTGCATGCTTGGAATCCTTTAGTCCTCACAGATCTGCCATTAAACTGTAGATATGTTTAGAAACTGCAAAGTGATAATTTATTGTAGCTGTCCCCAGTAAGGAACCTGAATTATGTGGAAACCTTAAATGTATGGATTTTATTGCAGGATGATGCAAATGGCCAAGAGAACAAATGCAGAAAATGCTTCAATCTGTACCATTAGAAATGGTATAAATTGCTTTGCAGATCAGACATCAACTCCAACAGGGGGACGGATGGGACAAGAATTTTCCTTCCAAACATGAAAATATTTAGTTTTTACTTTAGACCTGGAAATGTAAATTTGACATAATATTTTCAGAATCATAAGTAGATCTGGTAAGGAAGTAAACCAGAAAGCCCTTATGATGCAACTTGTATATTTGACCCATTTCACTCAAAAACAAAAAACATTCAAAGGGATTTTTAACACTGATGTTTTAATTCAAAATTTCTTTGTGAATCAGTTCCTTCAGATACACATCATTTCATTCTCCTTCACTGTACAAGGTTATAAAAAGTTCACAGCAAAGCACAAACATACAAAATAGTCATTTTTACCAAATTCATGTTTTCCTCCTCTGCTCCTCCTTAAATAATCTGAACTCTGGTGAGGAACCAGCCATAGCAAAAAGATTCAAGTCAGTGTTTACAATCTTATTTACAGAGAACATTGATCAAAGTGCATTGAAGAGAGTCCTGATTTACAGTCACGTCTCTGAGGGAGGAAATATATTTACACTGTTTACAAACGCTGCAACCTGGTGATCTCAGCAGCAGCAATAATAATAATGCAATGAACAGAAGAACCTTAATGTCAGTCAGCAAAGCATGATCAGAAATATAACAATCTGTTTCATAATTAAATACTTTTAGTCTCCAGACTTGTTCCCCGTTGAGACTTGAGAACTTTGACCCGGTTTGAATCGGAACCAGGAAACGGGTTGATGAAGACGCCTGGTTCTTCAGAGGTTCAGTCCAGGCTGGACATGAAAGACCCTCAAGACAAAACTGTTCTCTGAACAGACGGCAAAGACGAAGTCGGAAAAGCAAGAATAAAAATTCATCAACACTGTGGAGTGAATGTGGAAAACTCATGGAAGTATTCACATAATAAATAACATTTCCTCTTCACCACAGATCAGGACTTAATGCACTTCTGAAGGCATGTGGTTGAACTGTAAGGTCCGCCGTTACGGCGAACCGTTGGCATCGTAACACGGAGGAGGTTTCCGCAAGGAGAAGAAATAAAAAACCAAAATCCTGAGAACGATCAGGATAAATCATCGTCTGTGTCACTATGGAAATCTGTCAACAGAAACAGAGGAAGGAAAAGATGGGATTTTATGTAACTGAGAGGAAATGGCAGCATTTTCAACCACATCACAAAATATTGACTTGAAGATTTCCAAATATCAGATTTTAAAAAATTAAACTCACGCTGGGTAGGTGTGGCCCACGTTGGCGCCGTGGCGGGTGATGTCGATGTTGAGGTCTTCTTCTGTGGTTTTCAGGTAGACTGGGTTGTCAAAGTTCATGCTCTCTGGTTCTCAGCTGCCAGTTCTCCATCAGGTAGGCGCCCCTCCGGCCATGGCCAGCAGCACTGCAGCAGAGACACAGGCTGCTGGGAAACAGATTTGACCTCATGTTTGACCTTAGAGGAGGAGGCAGAGGCACTTACAGACAGGTAGGATGGCCCAGGCAGCAGCAGAGCCTCTGGCTGTGGAGTCACCTGGATAGATGTGCTCACATTGTTCTCGGAAGAGACGACAAAATCAGTAACTTCCAAAACCTTAAAGAGTTTCGGATAGGGTCATGGTCTACACAAAACCTGCAAAACTCAATCTTAGATAATGTTCAAGTCTGCTTAGTTCAGTGAGCTGTTTTAAGACTTATTGTCTCCAATTCCAAAATAAAATATAAACAGATTCACAACTGTACAATTGTATAGCTTTGAAAAGTTGAAGTGGAGCCTCCTGCACAAACAAGCAGCAAGTGGTTTCTAGATTCCTGTAGTCTTTTCCAGCAGCCATTGTACAGTGCAAACAGCATGTAACGGATTGTAAAATGAAATGTCTAAATTATTTGTAGTTTATTTAAATTAAACAATTTAAATGAATTCTAATTTAAGACTGTTGCAGATTGTTTATGTATGTTTGTCTGTTTTGGTTTGCATTGTTGGTGATTTATTTGGTTTAATGGTATTTTGTAATGTTTTGGGATTTTTTTTGTTTAATACGTACCTCACGGGCTGCCGTAGAGAAAGAGGGCAGGGCCTATAAAACTGGGGAATTGCAGTGAACCAAATGAACTGTCAAACGTTGGACTAAGAAATGGCGTTCCCCAGTAAAGGCAGCGAGGTACGTTTTTGTTTGTTGTTGTATTGTTGATTTGTGTTTGTATTTTAATATTTGTATTTGTTTAGTTTTCACGGTGATGGTGATGATGATGGTGATGATGATGGAGGTTTTGAAGTCAAGTGACCTGACGATGATCCAGCAAAATCATCAAAGGAGAAATAAAGCCAATATCACCTGTCGAGACCGGCTGTTTTTTAATTCAAGTACTGGGGATCAGCTATAGTGAAAACTCGTAATCTCCGTGTGTCGCCTTCCACTGACGGTGAGACGTTTGGTACGGACATCGCCGAAGTTTGTCGCTCCTCGGAATCAACGCTACAATGAGGAACTGTCTTCGCGCTGGATCCAAGTTTGTATCAGAAACTGAATCTGACAGATGACCACTGGAGCGGTGAGACATTGACTGATCAATCAACGCGGAAATAACGGCACCTGCTCGATATTTATGAACTGAGTTTAGACCGCTATTGGGTCAAATGAAATTCTGAATTATTAATAAGGTAGTAGCTTATGTAAGAAAAAATTATTAAAAAAAAAAAAAAAAAAACAATGGTGTTTTGTAATTAAATGTTAAGTTTGAATGTGGGTTTAATTTCACTGTAAGGTCTTAGAGTTAAGATGTCACTGCCAAATGAAATGGATCTTTCTGCTGAAGATGTGAAAACTGAAGAAAAGCCAAAGGGACAAGAGTTGGTTTCAGGTCCTCGCACAAGAAAGTTGACTGAAAAGGGAGAGCAGTACAGAGAAGAAGAGTCTGCAAAACAGATAAAGGCATTTCTTAAGTCTTATGCATCCTGGAAACAAACTGCAAGAGAAGCAAGGAAGAAACTAAAGAGTTTCTGCTCTGAGGAGAATCTGGATGAAATAAATAAGCAAGTCCAGAACAGTCTTGATAAAGTGAAACAGAATTATGAGTTTCTTCAACGTAATTTTTTAAATACTCCAGATATTGTGCAAAACTAGATGCCTGTACTATATTAACAAATGAGATTTATGATCTTGTGTGTAAGCGTTTAGAAAGGGGTATTGTTGAGGAAAACTTTAATCAAGAAGTTGAAAAGGAAAGAGTGAGAGAAGTCTTAAATAGAGATGAATATCAATCTGTTTTTGGAGAAGCGTCTATTGAAAGTTCTCCCTGCAGTTCATCAATTACTAGCTCCAAGGTTTCTCAGGGGCGTGTAATGGCAGAAGCTGATCTTGCAGCCAAAAGGGTTCAAGTTAGATCAATGTTGGAGATTGAAGCTCAGCATGCTAAAGTCAGTAAACTTGAATGTGACTGGAAATGTCATGAGTCCCAGATTATGGCAGAAATGAAGCAGAAGGAAGCTGAAGTGCTACAGCAGCTTGATGAAGAGAAGAGCAAGTTAAAGGTAATGCAAACAGACATGGAAGTTAAGATGGCTGCAGCTCGGGTTGATGTTTACAGCAGACTTGAAGATGGTGTTGAAAAGGGAAATCTTGATTTTAAGTCTGAGGTTAAATCAGAGCAAACACTGAAACACCCAAGTCATAAAGCTGCAAAGGTTGCATCAATTCTACCACCTCATGTTTGTGCTGAGATTCCTGCAGTGAACTTGGCTGAAGCCTTAACGAGCTCATTGAGTTTAAGTCGCCTTCCTGTTCCTGAACCTGCTATATTCTCTGGTGACCCTTTGAAATTTGTGGACTTTAAAATATCATTCACAACTTTAATTGATTCAAAATCCATCTCTGCTGGGGAAAAAATGTTGTATCTGAAAAGTTATCTTTCAGGAGAAGCCCGAAAGGCTGTAGAAGGTTTCTTTTACAGAAGCTCTGAGGACGCATATGAAGGTGCTTGGTCAGTTTTACAAGATAGGTATGGAAACCCATTTGTCATCCAGAAAGCATTTAGGGATAAACTTATGTCATGGCCAAAGATTGCACCAAACGATCCATTGTCTCTCAGAGATTTTGCTGACTTTTTGAAAGGTTGTGAAGAGGCTATGCCTCAAGTAAAGGGACTGTCCATCTTAAATGACTGTGAGGAAAATCATAAGATGTTGAAGAAGTTACCAGACTGGGTTGTACGTAAATGGAGTAGAGTTGTTGTTGAAGTACTTGACGCATGTGGAGAATATCCATCCTTTGAATGTTTTTCTAGATTTATACAAAAGGAAGCACGTATAGTATGTAACCCTGTTGCTTCTCCATTTTTGTTAAAGTCTAGAACTTCTTCAAATGACCTTTCCAGGAAAGCAAAGGTTCTTAACACCAGTACAGAGTTTAAGAAACAAGAAAGTGTTCATGGTTTAAAATCTAAACTGCCTTGCTTGGTTTGTGCAGACATGTCACACAGTGTTGCTAAATGTCCTAAATTTGCAGTTAAATCAATGGAAGACAAAAGATCATTTATATATCAGAACCATCTTTGTTTTGGATGCTTAAGGAAAGGTCATTTATTGAAAGATTGTAAAACGCGGCATGTTTGTGGGGAGTGTAGACGGCATCATCCTACTTGTTTGCACAAGGAGAGAGTGAGATCTCATGATGTTGCTCAGCAGTGTTCCATAACTCCAGAAGAAACACCTCAGGTTTCTCATAGTGTTTTATCTCATGCACTCATCCGAAACATTTCTGCTACATCAAGTATTGTTCCAGTTTTCCTGTCCTCTGTGAAGGATCCTGGGAAGGAAATACTTACATATGCACTCCTTGATACTCAGAGTGACTCCTCCTTTGTTTTAGAAGATCTTGTGAGAAACTTGATTGTTGAAACCAAACCAGTACAGTTAAAACTTAGTACCATGGTTTCTGTTGATACACCCATTTCAAGTCAAAATGTGTATGGCTTGCAGGTTCGGAGTTTTTTCTCTGATACTTGTATACAGTTGCGGCAAGCATATACACGTGACTTTATTCCTGTTGATACATCTTGCATACCAAGTAGAAGTACAGCATTACAGTGGCCTCATCTTAAACATCTAGCTGGCAAAATGCCTGCTTTGCAAAATTGTGAAGTAGGTTACTTATTGGTTTTGACTGTCCTTCTGCTTTGGCTCCCTTGGAGGTTGTTGTTGGTGGGGAAAATGAACCTTTGCTCAGAAGACTGCTCTTGGTTGGAGTATTATTGGGGCAATTAATCCACATTTAGATCGGCAAGGAAACCAAAGATATGTACACAGAGTGATGGTGAAAGAAATGCCCACTCCATTAACTTCTGATGTTTTAAGAGCTTTGGAGTTGGATTTTAATGAAAGGGGTTCAGAAGGAAAATGTGTTTCCCAAGATGACATTCGGTTCATACGACTTCTGAGCGAAAACATTATACAAAAAGATGATGGCCATTTGGAGATGCCCCTTCCATTTAAAACATCCTGCCTTCCTATGTTGCCAAACAATAAGACACTGGCTACCGTTCGTTTACAACATCTGAGGAGAAGGTTAAAGAGAAATGATCAGTTCTACAATCATTATAAAACATTTATGGAGTCTATCATTAACTGTGGAGATGCTGAACTAGTTTCTGAGGAAAATGCCAATGATGGTTGTGAGTGGTATTTGCCTCATCATGGGGTGTATCATTCAAAGAAACCAGATAAGTTAACGGTAGTGTTTGACTGCTCAGCTAAATTTCGTGGCATCTCTTTGAATGATACTTTGTTGACTGGTCCAGATTTGATCAACTCTTTAACTGGAATCCTCTTGCGTTTCAGAAAAGAAGCTGTGGCTATTACTTGTGACATTGAAAGGATGTTCACCAGTTTTATGTTGCGTCTAACCATCGCTGTTACCTGAGGTTTTTATGGTGGGAGCAAGGAGATTTGGAAAGTGAGCCTAAAGAATATCAAATGAAGGTCCATCTTTTTGGTGCTGCCTCCTCTCCAGGCTGTGCTAATTTTGGTCTGAAATATTTGGCACAACCGCAGAGATTAAAGTTTCCATCTGCAGCAGCATTTGTGGAGAATAATTTTTATGTTGATGATGGTCTAATAAGTGTTCCTACAGCTAATGACACTCCAGATTTTTTGGAACGTTTCACTAAGTTTTCATCTTGGTCAAAATTGATTAAAGTTGTTGCCAGAATCAAAAGACTTGGATGCCACAACAAATGCTATTCAAACGTGGTGAGTGTTAAAGAACGGGAAGATGCTGTTAAATCAGTGGCGAAACTTGTACAAGAACAGGCTTTTGGCTCCGAGATGAGGTTGTTAAAAGGGGGAGACATCCTTCCCGTTCTAGCCCTTTGTTCAATTTGAATCCTATTGTAAAAGATGGACTGCTGCGAGTTGGTGGACGATTAAAACATTCACCTCTTAGTGAAGATTTTAGATATCCACTGATTTTGCCAAAACACAGCCATGTTACTCATCTTATTTTGTCTTACTGTCACAATCAAGTAAGTCATCAAGGCAGAGGTCAAACTCAAATGCAGGTCCGGCTTAATGGGTTTTGGATTATTGGCTGCAGCAGGTGGTGGCTCAGATGATTCATAAATGTGTGCAGTGCAGGAAGATCAGACGTCCAGTGGAAGAACAACTTATGGCTGAGCTTCCAAAAGAACGCTTGGAAGCATCTGCACCATTTACCTATTGTGGAATGGACTGTTTTGGTCCTTTTATTGTTAAAAGAAATCGTAAGGAATACAAAAGGTATGGGTTGTTGTTCACCTGCCTTTATTCAAGAGCTGTTCACATTGAAATGTTGGAGGATTTGTCCACAGATTCTTTTATTAATGGCCTGCGCTGTTTCATTAGTTTGAGAGGAGCCGTTCGCCAGATATATTGTGATCAAGAAGAAATTTTGTAGGAGCCCAAAATGAGTTTAAACAATGTGGTCCTAAACATTTGGAGTCTTTCCTGGCAGAAAATCAATGTGAGTTCATTTTTAATGTACCATCAGCAAGTCATGCTGGTGTGTTTGGGAGCGTCAGATACGAACCATTCGAAATGTATTAGCTTTTACTCTATCACAAAACTTGGAAACTTGATGATGCTTCATTAAGAACTTTCTTTTATGAAGCCATGGCCATAATTAATAGTCGTCCTTTAACACTGAAGGGAATGAATGACCTGGTTCTCTTGAACCTTTAACTCCTAACCATCTGCTTCAGATGAAGTCTGAGTCTGCCTTGCCTCCTGTAGGAAAATTTGTGAGGGAGGATATCTATTCCTCAAAACGTTGGTGCCGTGTGCAGTTTTTGGTTGAGCAGTTTTGGAGT